GGCCTCGCCGAGGCAGGTAAACAGGACTGAGGCGAGCATGGCGGCACGCGGCTGCCGGGTCCCGTGGCTGTGCTTGCGGGCCCCGAAGAAGGCCAGCAGGGCGCCGGCTTCCATCGCCTTAGTCAAGGCGTCCGCGACCGTGGCCTAGGTCGGGATCCAGCTGAGCTTGAATGCGCTTTGGGGTGCACGGCCTCCTTGATCATGGAGGCGATGATGCGGAACCGCTTGTTGGTAGACTGGCCCGCATCAGAAGCGATGTGCGTCACGAGACCCTTGCTGTCGCTGTAGATCTCCCGAGGGCGCTTGTCGGCGAGGACGTCGATCTGCTTGGGCGTCGTCTTGGGGTTGTAGGCCTCGGTCAGCAGCTGGCGGAACCAGATGCTGGTCTCCGTTCCCTCGAGGGTCGCGTAGCCCTCGGCAGCGAGGGTCAACTTCACCGACCTGTTGACCGTGCCCGAGTGCCAGGCCACGGGTAGGCAAAGGTCGTAGCGGCCGCCGACGACATCGCGCGGGCGGTAAATGAGCCCCATCACCATGCCCCACTGGCTCTTGACCCCTTCCACGTTGGCGAACGCGGCGTCGCTGAAGCACGCGATGGTGGCCGTCATCAGGTCGACAAGCCCGCGCTCCAGCACGATCGCGAAGTTCGCAGTCGAGTGCACGTAGGCGACGGTCTTGTTCAGGGTCTTCGCGTCGGCCACGGCGGCGACGTTGGTGCAGCGGGCTGCAAAGCTCACCAGGCAGGCGACGCCCACCAGGGTCTGGACTGCCAGCCATAGCAGCTGCCCGAGCGCGTGGCGGTAGCTCGTCACCTCGGCGACGGTGAGCCGATCCTGGGCATTGCGGCCCTTCAGGGCCTTCAGGTCGATGTAGTCCACCTGCGAGGCGGCGGTGGCCTGGGTCACCCGACGAGCTTGGTGATTGTGCGTCTACAGTACTTGATGACCCCATCGACCTGCTTGAGGTGTAGCTTCTTCCCCAGTGATGCAAGAGTGGACTTCCACTTGGTGGAATTGCTACGCTGGGCGATCAGGAATGTCGCCCACGTGGGAGTGGATAATCGCGGCGAGCCCACCATCGTCGTAGAAGTAATAAAGGCCCTTCTCGAGCTTGCTCTCCACGAAGTCGCGTTCGGCGAAGACCTTCTGGGCGTAGAGGTACCACTGTCTCCCGGCGTCGCGCGTCCCGTAGATCGCGCCCGTGGCCAATGCCCGTGAGCAGTGCCTCACGGAGTCGTGTGCGTGCGTAGAGCTCGTCCGCGTGCTTCTGGAATTAGTTGTCCAGGAAGACGTCGACCTTGTTCGTGTCCTTTAGCCTCTTGAAGCACTTGGGCAAATCGTCCGAAAGATCCACGCGCTTGGCTGCGCGCTCGCGGGGGTCGAGCTCGCGGTCACGTCGAAGAGCACGCGGTGCGGATTCTTGGTGAACCTGTCGCTGTGCCTTCGTGCCGCGCTGGTTCTCGGTGTCAAGTGGGCGCCATGCCGCTGTCTCCTGTCGAGACTGCTCCTCCGCGGTCCTTTGCCATTCCCGAATCATGTCCGATCCGGAGCTGTCGGACTTCCAATCGTCCTCGGCGTCGTCGACCGGGCCCTGAAGTGCGGGTTCAGGATCGGACTTCCCGTCGACCTCGGAGTCGTCGACTGGGCCCTGAGGTGCGGGTTCAGGACGTTGATGAAAATCTGCGTCGGCAGGGGCAGCAGGATGATCAGCGACGGTCGGGGCGGCAGCAGCGCCTGAGCCCATGTCGGGCACAGCAGGGGGCGGCGCCAGCAGCGGTGGCGGTGGGAGCGCCATCACCACGTCTCCTCCCGAAGGCGGTGAGGCTGCTCCCCCACTGCCGCTGGCTCCTCCACTGGTTGTGAAATCACCGTCTCCTTGTTTGCGTGCCAGCCATTCGGCGTGCTGATGGGCGCGCTGGTTCGCTTCGCTGTTCTCGATGTTGCCGAAGTTGCGCGCCTGGATGGCTGGCTGCTGAACTGGCGCTGGCAGCGCTGGCGGTGGAGGCTGCCATTCGCTGCGGGGGCGCCTCTGAGGTGTAGGGCCCGAGAGGTCGAGGAAGGTGTCCTCGCCGCCCCCTGGCGGCACGCGGCCATCGCGTCCTCCGCCGCGGCCAGGCGGCGGGGGCCCACCGCCTGCGCCACCGCCACTTCCTCCAGGATCTGGAGGAGGTGCGGGCCCTGAGGCCCCTCGCAGGGCGCCCCGTGGTGGCCTGGGCGGCTGGCCGCCGTTCAGCCCGTTCAGCGCCTGTCCCCGCGGCGCGAGCTCCGATGCCGCGGCGCGGCGTAGGTGTCCACGGTTGACCTTCGCGGTCGTGGAGCGATGGCCGACCCAGACGTTCGAGGTGCCACCGAACCCGATGATGACGCCAGGCCCGTGCCACTGCAAAGCCCATTCTCCCTTGGGCCTGCCGTTGCCCCTCCAGCAGTACACCTGGTCGCCAGTCCGGTAGAAGTCGCTGGCGTGCTGAGCTCCATCTGCCCGAGACCCGGCCGGCAGCGCTCTCGAGAGGGACTGCTTGAATCCCAGCTGCTGCGTGGAGATCTGCGCGGCCCTCATGATGGCGATCCTCTCTGAGAACGGCTTGTCAGACACGATGCGCTCGCGCAGGGACAGCCTGCCCGCGTTGTCCAGCGAGCAGAAAAGAAGCCGAAGGCCTCGCCCTAGCACCCACTGCGAATAGCCCGTGTAGTAGTTGACCTGGCTGTTCATGGCCCAGCACACGGAGGCGATCAGCCACTGGACTGGTCGAACCGGATGCTAAACTGGTCAATCAGCTTCCTCGCGCGCACCTTCCACATGCCTCCATGCCGCTCCGCGGTGGCATTCTGCTGCGGCGCAGCCGCAGAGGTGGTCATCAGACGCCAACCCATGTCCCCCAGCTCCTGGGATAATTCTCGCTCGAACTCGCCTCCTCCATCAAATATGACACGTTGAGGCGCGCCGGAAGGCGTAATCCAAATCTGCGGCAGTCGAGCGAATGCGGCTGGTGGGTGCCTTGAGGCAACCACGCCGCACATCGTAAACCTGAGGCCAGGTCGACCACGTTCAGGTAGATCAGCTGGTTTCCCGCGTAGTCGGCCAGGGTAGAGGTCCACTCCGATGGAGTCGTTGAGATCCCTGTCCAGTCTGATCCTGCCCGGCAGGTGTGGTAGTGGCCGTTGGCGTGCTGCACATACCTCGCAGTAGAGGTTGAGAGCCATCTCTACGAATCTCTGCGATCCGCCTGTCACGCGGATAGCTCGGGCAAGCGAATCGTTGGACGGGTGCCCGGTGTTCGCGTGGAGCTGCATCGCGGCGGACCTGAGCGTCCGCTCCTCCGCGGCCGTGAGCACTGGTTCCTGCGCGGCTGCGGCGGCCGGAACCGCCCTCCTGCTGCGGGGCGTCATTCGCGTGGGGGTCGGCGGCTTGGTCGCTGCAATTGTCCGGCCAACACCTTCATGAGCTTGCACGCGTAATTCTCGATGATATTCGCGATATGGCCGCGAGCCTCGGCGTGGGCATGCGACCCGTCGCAGACCCTCCTGAGCGAGTCGTCGAACCCGCAGTGATTGGTGACGAACCTTCACGGCTTCTTGATGTGGACGCCCTTCTTCGTTTTGAAGTCGAACGCGTAGCCGTCGAAGTCCATGACTCGCGGGAGCTGCTCCTCCAGCTGCTTGGCGGTCGAGTGCGTGTTGGGGTCCCATTCGTCGCAGTACCTCGGCCGTTCGAACGAGACGTTGAGCTGGGCGCCGAACTCCTTGCGCAGCCGGGACATGGCCTGCAAGAACAGTCCGATCATGAGCTTAGACTTGGCCCGATCCTTCTCGAGCTGCGGGGTCTTACTCGGGTCGATTTCCACGACAAGTCGCTGCAGTGAGGTCCACGGCTGGCAAGGAAATGCAGCGTGGACTCGATAACTCTTGTCACTGGCAAGGTTGGATATGATCCTGCCCCCCAGCTCGTTGACCACGAACCGTTTTGAGAGGTCGTATTTTGGAAGACCGCACCTGACAGCAGCTCTCCCCTCTCCCTCCAGATGGCGCTGAGCTGGCTGTCCGGGTTGCAGCACCACTCGACAAGCACGGTGCTGCTCGCTGTGAGGGCCGGGCTGGATCTGGTAGTAGATTTCGCCAGGTTGGCGACCAAACCTGGCTGATTTGATGCGGCCGGATGCCGATCCTTCCGGTGACGTTAAAACGCCTGCCTGCGATCGGCTGCAGCTTCGTCCCCTTCTTGAGCGTGCGCGCGAGTAGCTGCTCCTCCTCCGCGATGTTAACCTCGGGTCCGTGACTTGCGTCTGCGATGCCATCAGGTCCCTGGTCGTGGCCCAGCGTCACGGGCGTGCCGAAGACGCACTCCGAGCAGAAACCACGGTGGCTACAGACCGCGAAGGCCTTCCCGCCGCAGGCGATGCAGTCCTGCAGCGGCTCGGTCACGCAGCAGGCGATGCAGTCCTGCAGTCCTGCAGCGGGAGATGACCTGCGGCAGCGTCGTCAGAGCGAGGCTCGGAGCTGGCGCTGCGGTGGAGCAGCAAGCCAGAGCTGAATCCACGGCAGACAAAAGTGGTGACCCTTTTAGTCGACGAGGCTGGAGTCGCCTCGAGACGATCAGCTCCTTCTTCGTGGCGAGCTTGTTGGTCGTGTCGATCAGCGTGCTGGTCTTGATCGTAGCGCTGACCGTAGGTTCGCTCACCTTCGGTCGGCTTGCTGGCTTGGCATGTCGCTCCATGCCAGCGTCCTTGATGGCCGGCCACTCCTCTGGCTGCAACTTGATCGCGGGGTGGCCCGCGGCGCTCGTCATGAGCTTCTTGGTGGAATTCCCGATGCGGATCTGGCCCTTCTAGAGAGAAATGTCGATATTGGAAGGCTGTGTGAAGTCGCGGCCGATGAGCAGGCCCAGCGTGGAACTGTCCACGACGGTGAACACGACGCGGCCGGCCTGGCCGCAGAGCACGAGCGGCGCGGTGACGGGCAGCTTGCTCGGAAGAGTGCCTCCGTTGCCGAACCTGTGGACCTCGT